AGGAGGAGGAGGAGGAGGAGGAGAAGAAGAAGAAGATTCGAAGAAGAAGAAGAAGATTCGAAGAAAAAGAAGAAGAAAATTCGAAGAAGATTCGAAGAAGAAGAAGAAGAAGAAGAAGAAGAAGAAGAAGAAGAAGAAGAAGAAGAAGAAGAAGAAGAAGAAGAAGAAGAAGAAGAAGAAGAAGAAGAAGAAGAAGAAGAAGAAGAAGAAAAATAAGAAAAAGAAAAAGAAGAAGAAGAAGAAGTAGAAGAAGAAGAAGAAGAAGAAGAAGAAGAAGAAGAAGAAGAAGAAGAAGAAGAAGAAGAAGAAGAAGAAGAAGAAGAAGAAGAAGAAGAAGAAGAAGAAGAAGAAGAAGAAGAAGAAGAAGAAGAAGAAGAAGAAGAAGAAGAAGAAGAAGAAGAAGAAGAAAAAGAAGAATGAGGAGGAGGAGACGCATCAATGCGTAAAAGGATATAATACTATAGTAATAAGATAATATTAATATTGTGCTTACCAACATTTTACGATTTTCCCCTCAACAGCGTACAGGTTTGTATCATCAGGAAGGTATTTCCTATAAGTGGTGTATGTGGTTTGTTTTTTGTTTGTTTGTTTTTTTGTGTGTGTTTTTTAAAACTATTTTTTTCCCTTCTTCTTCACCCATTGCACATTGCGTCGTTTCTGCTGTGAATATGAAGTTTTTGTTGATGGTTTGTTTGTTTTTTTCCCCAGGACCACTGCTCTCATCTCATCTGCTGTTTCAGCTGAGCATTATGTTAAAATTGTCAACATTTAATTTTTTTTTTTTACTCACTGACTCTGATTCTTCATTTCTGTAAACTATTTTGTTGTAATGCTTTTACTGATACTTTTCTAATTCTTCCATAGTTCTTATATCCAAATGCTGAACTTATTTTTATGCTTGTCGTCTTGGTAGGCACAGATGTGAATGCGTGAATGCCTGCATTGTACAAGTCTCAGAACAATATCTACGTGCGGCATCCTTTCCACCAGGAGATTTTTGTCAGCTACAGCAACTTCCTTAAAGTATCTGTAGGTATATAAAGTTCTTTTAGCTTTTGCATCTTTGCTCAACAACGCTCCCCTGATTGTTAAAGCTATGGAAATTACCTTGTTGTACCAGTGAAATCTCAAAAGATTTGCAGATACAGTGATCAGAGTACACTTTTTGGTTTCTGACAAGGTGCTCATTACAGAACCTTCATTCATAGGACAAACAAAGAGAAAAAAAGACACCCAGGGATTAACTGTAATACCTTTTTCGTCTGATGGAATATGTAGTACAGTGTGCTATCTTTTTTCCCCCGACAATGCAGTCTCATTGTTCAGATTGACCCTAATCTTGACTAGTGGGGAAAATGTTGAGGGGGTTCTTTTTGCAACATCTTTTTACTCAACAAAAGATCTGGACACACCTTTGGTAAAACTCTGATGATTGGCGAAATTCTGCCTCCTTGCGTCAGATATATGTAAATATGTTTCCAGTTTTCAAACAAACAAACACACAAAAACAAACAAACAAACAAACACAAACAGACAGACAAGCAGACAAACAAACAAACAAGCAAACAAACAAACAATCGAAAAAATCCAACTCACTCATTACTACCAACGCCTTCACTATGTGGCGCCGGTGGCCTGGTGGTTACGCTCGCGAACTCGCAACCGGGAGATCGTGGATTCAAATCTCTTCCGGAGCCTGACGTTGTGTCCTTAGGAAAAGGTACTTTAAAGGAATTTTCCTAACTTCACCCAGGTGGAAATGGGTACCCAGCTATAGACAGTGAAAGGATCTTATCAGATTGTTAGTGTTTTAGATAAGAAAAAGATACGGTACATCTTTATTGTCCAGATCCTGACACACTGGTTTGTTGATTCATCACACACACACACACACACACACACACACACACACACACACACACACACACTTACTTCACTCACACATCCTCTCTTCTACACACATCTGTCTACATAACCATAATAGTACAATAGTATGCTTGCGCTCACAGACAGGCTCACAGTCACATGTATAATAATAATAATATAAATGAACAGTAATTATAAGCATTAATAGTGTTAAGCTAAATACGTACTCAGTATTCTGATTGTAACTCACTGGTATTCTGATATCACATGCTTTAAAGAAAGGTAATGGGAATACTTATATCAAGACGGTTAAGATGAAGTTTAATGGATGATGGTCAGAATGACCATCGGTATCTTTCTTTGTCATAGATCAGAAGCCTAGGTATTTTACTTCTGATTGATATTTTTATTTGAGGGAACAAGGAATGTTTATATTGTCCAAAAAGATGGAATTAATTTTTCTAGTGCAAGCGACAATGTATAATTCATCGAAGTAGACGAATGCAAGATGTTGAAATTTTACATGTTTTCGAATTAACTGATTCAATTTTTCTTTATCATGTTGTCTTGTGTTGCCGACCCATGCTGTCATACTGAAATTGATCATACCCTTTATGGAAGACTAACTGAGAAAAGGCTTTTAAGCACAGAGCGAAGTAAACATACCGGGTTGTCACCGAGTAGCGCACGCTGTAGACGTGCGGAGTCTGTTATTTGCAATGTATGCTAATTAACTATGATGTTTCTAAGTTCAACTCACTAAACACTACAAACCCCTTCCTTGTCTAAAAAACTTTATAAGTTCAACTCACTAAACACTTCCAACGCCTTCTGTGCCAAAACATTTTCTGAGTTCAGAGCTCAGTAAACACTACCAACGACATCTTTACCCATAAAACTTTCTACGTTCAACTCACTAAACACTGCCAAAAGTTTCATAACCAACAACATTTCTAAGTTCAGCTCACTAAACGCTACCAACACCTTCATTACCTAAAAAACTTTTAAAGTTCAACTCACTGAACACTACTAACACCTTCTATACCTATAACATTTCTAAGTTCAACTCACTAACCACTACCAACGCCTCCATTCTCGATAAAACTTTCAAAGTTCAACTCACTAAACACTACCACCTTCTTTAGCAATAAAACTTTCTAAGTTCAACTCACTAAACACTGCCTACACCTTCTTTACCTACACACTTCAGCAAAGTTAAGGACCACCTTGACAGGTAGTCCTTATTTTTTTTAAAATCCGAAATTTCTGGTGCTCGTCATTAACAGACGTACGATCTCGAACTGTGCTCACTTTGGTGGCAATATGAGCCGCTGTTTGCGCAAAATCCAGTATCGAATCAACATACAACCAAGAAGAAAGCTGAGAGACTTTGATCGTACCAAAGATATCGCATGGTTGCAGGATGGAGTTGGAGCCCGAGAAGTTACCAGAAGGCTTGCAGTGTCACACTCTGTCATTGTTCGCCTGAGGCAGCGCCATCAAGTCACTGGATCCGTCCCAGAACGCCCACGTGCAGGTCGACCCAGGAAGACCACCCAGAGTGTTTGTAAGTGGTCCTTAACTTATGTTGAAGTCTGTATAACATTTCTAAGTTCAGCTCACTGAACACTACCAACACTTTTATTACCAATTCCATTTCAAAGTTCAGCTCATTGAACACTCCAAACAGTTTCATTACCAACAACATTTCTAAGTTCAGCTTACTAAACACTATCAACACCTTCATTACCTGAAAAGAATTTTCTAAGTTCACCTCACTAAACACTACTAACGTCTTCCTTACCTATAAAATTTGTAAGTTCAACTCACTAACCACTACCAACGCATTCGTTCTCAATAAAACTGTCAAGATTCAGCTCACTAAAAACTACCAACGGTTTCATTACCAATAACATGTCTAAGTTCAACTCACTAAACACTACTAACGCTTTCTTTAACAATAAAACTTTCTAAGATCAACTCACTAAATACTACCAACGCCTTCTTTACCAATAAAACTTTCAAAGTCCAACGCACTAAACACTACCAACGCCTCCATTCTCAATAACATTTCTTAGTTCAGCTCACTAAACACTACTAACGCTTTCGTTACCTATAACATTTCTAAGTTCGAGTCCAACTCGCTAACCAACACCAACACCTCCATTCCCAATAAAACTTTCAGAGCTCAACTCAAGAGCCCAAACACTATCAACACCTTCTTTACCTATAAAATTTCTAAGTTCAACTCACTAAACACTACCAATGTCTTCTTTAGCAATAAAGCTTTCAAAGTTCAGCTCAGTAAACGCTAGCAAAACCCTCTTTACCTAAAAAACTTTCTAAGTTCAGCTTACTAAACACTACCAAAACCTGCTTTACCAATAGCACTTTCTAAGTTCAACTCACTAAACACGACCAACGGCTTCTTTGTCTATAAGATTTCTACGATCAACTCACTAAACGCTATCAACACCTTCTTTATCTTTAAATTTCTAAGCTCAAGTCACTAAACACTACCGAAGCCTCCTTTACCAATAAACTTTCTAAGTTCAGCTCACTAAACACTACCAACACCCTTTATTACCTATTACATTTCTAAGTTCAGCTCACTAAACACTGCCAATGCCTTCTCTAGCAATAAAACTTTCTAAGTTCAACCCACTAAACACTACTAACGCCGTCTTTACCTATAAAATTTCTAAGCTCAACTCACTAAACTCCACCAAAGCCTTCTTTACCAATAAACTTTCTAAATTCAACTCACTAAAAACTACCAACAGTTTCCTTACCAATAACATTTCTAAGCTCAGCTCACTTAACATTACCAACGCCTTCTTTAACAATACAACGTTCTAAGTTCAACTCACTAAACGCTACCAACGCCTTCTTCACCAATTAAACTTTCTTAGTTTACCTCACTAAACATTACTAAAGCCCTTTTTTCTAGCAAAAGTTCAACTCACTCCACTCAACCATCTCCTTTACTAGAAAAAATAGTTTTAAACCAATGTATTAAGCTTAACATCTATCGGTTTACTTCCAACACACCATGTGCTCACACACGTCACCAACACACACTAGGGAATTTAAAGATCAACAAAAACTCGGTGGGGCAGGATCACATAAAACAAAAAACATACCATCTTTTTTTTCCCGGGCGCCTGGGCTGCTTTTCCAACATATCACCAAAAAAAAACAACAACCACACGGGATACCTCGAACATTACCACTTCCCTTCTAAACCCACAACATCAACATTTTCTACTCAATCTAAAACAACGCAACTTTTTTTTTTCACCCATAAATCACATACACATACAACACTACCATACACCACCTCGACCCAAAAACACTACCCAAAACCAGCTCCATTTAGAACACTACCCAAAACCACCTCGATTTTAGATCATTACCCAAAACGGGGAGTTTTTTTTAAATCATTACCTAAAACGGGCAGTTTTTTAAATCATTACCTAAAAGGGGGGGGGGGGGGGATTTGGACCTCTTCTTTCTACTAACGTCTTACTGGTTCTGTCAGGCAGTTCAGTGATGACTGTTTTCTTTTATTACATTATCTATTTTTATTGCATGATTTGTCTTATAGACACAAATAGTCACTCCAGGTTTCTTTTTTAAAACATAAAGAGCCATCAGTAAGGTTCTGGGCCATGTGAAGTTTAGGTTGACTAGCAGCTAGATCTTTTTCACAATGGGCAGGAAATTTCTTTATCAAACTGAAACAGTGTACTTTTTATTGTTTTGTTTTATTGAATGTTGTCCAAAAACACCTTAGTAAAGGTTTTTGTTTCAGTTATCACTACACTGAGCAGAACAACAATCGACTAGGCTACAAAACAACATTTAAGCTCACTTTAAAAAAAAATCTTTAGTGAGTCCAGAGTTGTCACAGTTGTTTTACTAATGTCCAAAATTAGACTTACTTAAAACTGCAATAGAAGGAGCTTTAGTTTAAGTCCTGTATATGGTCTACTTTAGTTCTTAAAATCAATATAAACCAAAGTTTAATACCGACATAAGAAAACACTATACTTATAATTTAGTATACTTTTTTAAAAAGTGAACATATGAATGACAAATACAGTTCTCCTGTTCAAATGTCACAAGCGAAAGTATAACTCGATTTTTAAAATACCAGTACATGTATTCATCATTTGTTTCACGGAATTTGCTTTATCAAGAGCTTCATTGCATTCCTACACCTAAAGGCTGAAAAACTGGATTTTTTTTCCTATGGCTCATCCTGATTTAATTTAATGCCAAACTCATATAGCTGAGGGGGGCCAGGGGGGGGGGGGGTGGTATTGGGATTCGGGAGGAGAGAGAGGGTGAGGTGGTTATGGGAGGTTCCCATGACACCCATATCTTTTCATACTTCTTTTTAAAAGTTCTATAGGCCCTATACGCTTTGATTCGGTCAATACGAAATAAACCAGCACGTAGATAAAGTGCTGATGAAGAAATAAAGGTTATTTTTTTCTTTTTCTTTTTTTAAAAGCCCATATCTCTATCTCTATCTATTTAATAATACATTTATTTGTAGATCTAGTTGTAGAAAGAACGCCGTATTATTGCAATGTAGTAATTTAGATATAGTACGCCACGGCGTCCATGTAAAAAAAACAACAACAAGAACCAAGCCTCGCCTATCGCGTATGAGAGAGAGAGAGATACCATGCCTTGCCCATTGCTTTGGCATGTACTCCTTCACCAACTTGCCACAAAAAACATGGCGGACGCCGCGGTCTAATGTGGCAGTCGCGCAGCAAGGCGAGAGAGGGGAGTACTGTATCTAGTACTATAGTGTACATTGATGGCTAGATCTAGAATCTAGATTAGGTTCTTCTAGCTAGGAAGCAACGATTGGCATGTAGGCCTAACTCTTTTTTTAAAAAAGCGATTGAGCTGGAACTTTAGGAGAAAATGCCACGCCTTCGAAGAGGGAGAAGAAGTTTTACCCCTAGAGGTAGTCAAGAGGGGGTGCTA